AGGATAGATCAAAATCAATTTATAACAAGTCTGCATACGAGTACAAGAATACCTATGTCAGCAAAAGCAACAACAGCAACATATTTCTAATTTATCTGATGAAAATGCTTGGCCTTATCTAAGACCAGATCCACCAGCAACAACTAATACAGTCTCTCAGAATGATCATAATTTGTGTGAAACAATTAAATTCTTATCTGATGAACTGAAACAAGTTCAACAAAGGCATGAAGACGAACAGAGAAAGATTGAACAAAAATTTAAAACTTGCATGACATTGATGAATGAAACATGCTTGTTGATGCAGCAGAGTCAAGCGACTGAGCAGACTATGGTACGTGCAATGAATGCTGCTATAAGTCAATCTACGTTTGGCACATGCATGAAATTAACAGAACAGTTACATTTTATAGTTGTCAAACTGAAAGCTTATACAAAAAACGATGAATATGATGAGTTATTACAACAGATTAATTTACAAGTGCAATTTCTTACTGAATCTCACATCGAATATCTAAAACATCAAGATGAATTAAAATCTATTTCCATTAAACAAACACAAGCACTGAACCAGATTATGGATAGTTTTCTAAGGAATGGAAATGGATAGTTATGATTTTCATTACTGTAAGCCATATATTAACTGTGATTTAGTGGAATTGTTTGATGGAACTGTCGGTGAGAAAAAAACTTTACGTGAAATTTTTTGTGAGTGGAATCATAGGTGTAGTGTGAGTGAGTTATGTGCGTGTTGGGTGAAAGAGCGACCTTCTTCTGTATCTGAAAATCTTTCTATACTTTTATGGAATTGTGAAGGTCTTTCAACTCATCTGTCAGATTTCGATTCTTTTCTTTCTTCTTACTGTCCTCAGGTGTTCATTTTAACAGGAGTGGGAAAGATGATACGTGCGCTCCCGCCTGTCGCTAATTATAAATGGTTTTCTCAGGAAGGTAATAATAGTTACGGAGGAGTGGCAATCTTAGTGCATAACAAAATCACATGTGCAGTCGAGGATAAGGCAGTTAATTTTCTTCTTCTTAAACTAGAGATTTTAAACGAGAAACTTTATATTGGTGGAGTTTATTCACCACCTAAAACACTTCCACCTTTTGAGCTGTTTGAGAAGCATAAAGATAAAGATATCTATCTATTTGGAGATTATAATGCTAAACATAGCAATTGGAATTATGAAAACAGTAATGTGAGTGGAAATAAACTAAACGAGTGGTTAGTTGAAAATGGATTCTAAGTAATCCACTCTTTTTGTGAAACATTTAAGAAATCTAAATCAATAATAGATTTTTGTATTAGCAAAAAACAAAGAAAATTGGAGCGTAGAAAGACTACCAGAAGGAAACTCGGATCATTTTCCTGTTCTATTTTTTTCACCATTCTCAGCAGGAGAAAATGGAGTTTTCAGAAAGACCAATTGGCGTATATTCAGTTATTTTCTTAAAGCTGTATTTCCTTATTGGAATACATTCGTTTACAACGTAGATTATAACTTCTTTTTTGATATTTTTTCTAAGTTTTTATCAGCCTTGAGTGATAGATGTAGTGTTTATGAAAGTATTAAACTTTTTCGACCACCGTGGCCACTATATCTAGTGAATTTAATTCGAGAAGTAAATAAATTAAAACGTAAGTGGAGAAGAACACGTTTTTTAGGTGATTACTTGAATTTTAAACATCATCAAAAAATTTATATTGAAGAGAAAGTTAAGTTTGAACAAAACAAACGTGAGCAAAAAATAAAACATATAAAAGAAGACAATAACGTTTGGTCTCACATAAAACAAGTATTTCGTCCTTACACTCCTTCTTTTAGAGGATTGACAACAAATGGCGGAGTACTAAAAGGTAATCAAGAAATAGCTGATCAACTAGCTAATTATTATGAAAAACATTTTTCAGAGCCAGTTTTTGATGTAAACAATACATTTCATCTTGAGTGTATTGAGTCATACGAAAAAATAAAAAATACACAAAACATTTCACTTGGAAAGATCAAACTAGAAGAAGTTGTTTTACAGTGGAAAATTTTTTTCCAAAGAAATGAGATCGTAGCAAGAATTGAGAAATGGTGTACAGATCAAAGTATTCACATCGATGAACAATCTGGATTACAGCAAGAAAAAGACTACAGACAAGAATTGTTTCTATGATAGATGATTTAAAGTTGACTGTTGCAGCATCAAACAGGCCTGCACTAGCTATTTCTGTAGATTTTAAAACAGCGTTTGATGCCGTGTGGTGGCCGGCATTAATGAAAAGATTAGAAAACTTAGAAATGCCAGTTGGTATTTTTATTTGTTAACCCTTTCGGGAACAATAAACATAAATGTTAAAAAAAAAGCAAAGTCATGTAATAACCCTGGACAAGCTACTTATGTCCCGTCTGACAGTCAGTGTTATTCACTCACCTCTATAACGTCACTTTACTTTTTCTCGCTTTTCCCTAACCACAAACGCTAGAGACCTTTGCTTTTCATCATCGTCATTCATATAGGCTAGACATCATCAGCTATACGATGATGAAAAGCAAAGCTCTCTAGCGTTTGTGGTTAGGAAAAGGCGAGAAAAAGTAAAGTGACGTTATAGGGGTAGGTGAATAATTCTGACAGCCACTGTATCGTTTTTTTGTTATTTCCTAATAAACAATTTTAACTTTTATTATAAACGTTTTTCTTTTTGTTTGCTTATTACAGACATAATTATAATTAAATGTTTGGTCGTTTGAAACAATTACAGAACGTTGTAAATCAATCAGCCGATCATTTGTGTACTGTTACAGCCATTTTTACAAAATACTCCTCGTCCAAGTCCATTTCAAGCATATACTGAGTAAGTCTATACTGCATCCGAGTCTATACTGGCATGCTTACTCGGCATGCTCTATCGTCACCTTGTTCAATGTATATTGCACCCATTAATTTATATGGTAAAATATTAATTGGATGATCATTAGAAAAACATTTTAATTTTTAGTTATTGTTGATGTTTTTAAATATTCTAATGATTTTTCTCTATTCTTTAATTCATAATAGAAATCAGCTAATAATGTGTACGATGTATCATCTAATGTTGGGTCATCTTCAAAATTATATTCTAATGATTGTTGTATATGTTTAATTGCGTATAATTAATGTTTTTGGATACTGTAGATTAAACTTACGTTTTCACGCAAAACGCGTAAAGTAGAAAAATCAGTTGTTGACTTATTTTTAGATATTAATATAGATTCTAATTCGAAATTTGTGTTATTATCATTATCTACCATGTTAAACAAAGTCATCATGTCGAATAGTGCCTCTGTAAGGTATAAATTAATATTTTCATTAATACAAATATTATAGGCATCATTTGCGTACCGTCTAGATAATTCTATTTGGTAATTTAATCCATAAGCAAGAGATAAACGAGTATAAATTATCGATTTTCAATTTAAATCTTATTGCTCTTCTCTTGTGATAATAGTAAAGTTTGTAAATAATTAATTACTTTTGTATATTTTCCCATACAAATTAATAAATGACCAAAATTAATTAAATAATCAGTTTCTGTTTGATAATTAGTTGTTTCTTCTACGAACTTTTTAATCTAATCATTTTTTAAATTTTGATTAATGCTTATCAATGAAACAATCGATAAATTATGTTCATTATTAAAATCAACGCTAATTATACGAAATGTTGATCCTAAACTACAGAACTAAAATAATATTTTTAATCTGCCACAAGTAACAAGCCATAGTCTGAGCAGAGCTGATACTTTTTTTTAACAAAAACACGCTCAGGGAAAGAAATATCGCCGTTAACAGCCATCATCTTCCTATTAAATTAGTAATTATGTATAAAGTGGAAGATAATAGGTTTTCTATAGAGCTTTTATTTATGTTACACGTTGACTATATTCTTCTCCAGATAAATAATATAACATATTTAGAACTTTGCTTTCATCGAACAATACAATTAGAAGACGGACGAAGTGGATCAATCCGCTCAAACTAGAACTGGTTAGATCTTGCGTCTGTTGAAAGGAGCGGTTCTCACACATCGGAAACTGTGCACTGAGCTCTTCGAAATAGAGACGAAAACCACGGTTTCAGTTTCAGAATAACAATCCAACATGTATGGTCGAAGCGATGAGGCATGGACGAGTCCAAGTCTGTCTGGAAGGTTTTTTGAGGACTCTGACTGGCTAGTTTTTCGAAAGATTCGGACTCGATCGAGTTTGAAGTTTGGAGTTTTGGTACTTCGAGTCCGATCGACTCAACTTTTAACATAAATGAACACTAAATGTTTTTTTATTTTTATTATTTTCAGTTCGGTGCGATTCAAGGACGGTCTACACCTTGACCGTTGAAAAAAGAGAAAAAAGAAGCGGAGTGGGAGGTCAGCTTGCTGTCAGTTCGTTGGGGTGTCAATAGCTCCTTGCTACCACTCCAGGGGTGTCAATGGCCATTCCGAAGAATAAAATGAGTGAATGTCTTTATACTTTCTCACTGAAATAGTACGAACCAATCAGAAACGACGATAATTCTGCCATCTGAGCGAATTTGATTGAATTCTGTAGTTTTCCAATCGTTTGGAACGAATCAAATATCGTACGTAAAATATATTTTGCGTTGTGGAGTCGGGTTGTCTGCTTTTAGTAACTGTCACTAATAGTGGCTAAAAGCAGGATTCGTAAAAATTCTGTCACAGATAAGAAAAGGTGTGGATCTGGCTTGTCCCATTGGTGAATGCCAAACAAAAGGAAAAGATGTAAAAGCGATGTCGCAGAAGTATGTTTCTCACTCAGAGGTCTAAGAAAAACGCGAGAAACTAATCGAATTGTATACAGTTAGATTCAGATTTTCATGTAGATCATGAATATAAGCTTTATTTTGAATAACAAGGCTGTAGTAATTAAAAAATCAGGCTTTTTACTTTTATCTTTGTGAACTATATGTAAAAAGAAAAGACAATTTTTCATTTCTTCTCTATACAGTGAGTGTCCACGTTATGCTTGTTTTATGCAAGATTTATTCAATCTTTCAAATATCACAGATCGGCACAAAGTAGTCGCCAAAACATATGCTCAAAATGTTTGTATATACTCAGAATTTTGAGCTCTATCCGAATCTCAAGGCTTCAGGAGGTGGAAACGTATGTTTGCGGAGCAGGGGCGTCTATCCCTACCTAAGGGTTTTGACGCATAACACCCTACCTCTCATTTTGTACCACGTACAAGAGTTGTATTATTTTGGGAATACCCCCCCCCCCCCCCAAAAAAAAAAAAAAAAAAGTTTAAATAAAAAAAAAACAAGAAAAGGATAATTAAAAGGGGCCAAAAAAAAAAAAAAAAAGAAAAAAAGTCGGGGCGAAAAAAAACAAAAATTAAA